GAAGCCTTTTAAAGAAAAATCTGCCAAAAGGTGTTATAAAAGTTGTTAACAACTGACTTTCCTTATTCAATTTTATTTGGTAAAACCCACTTGTGGTATCCAATTTTGAGAAGAATTTAGACCCTTTCAACTGTGCTAGTGTATGAGATATTTTCCCGAGAGGAAAATGTGACCGTAACACGTTTTCATTAAGTTTAGTATAGTCACCACAAAGCCGTACACAATCTCCCTTGTCCACACAAACAATTGGGCTGACCCAAGAAGTAGGATCTTCAATGGGTTCAATTATCCCTAATTTTAGCAATCTATCAATTTCAATTCTTAATTTTGGTAACAGAGGTAAAGGAACAGTTCTGGGAACGCTCTGTACATAAGGTTTAGCATCTGGCTTAATTCTAATTGACATTTCCATTTTAAATTCACCTATATCACTAAAAATACCAGGAAATGTTTTAGCAACAGACTCTAAATTAAATTTTGAAAACATATTAGTACTCTCAGATTGATTACAATGAACAACACTGCAACTGATTTGATTTACCTGTTTAAGCTTACAATTAGAAAAATTTAGAACATTAAACTTAATGATTGACTCTCTGCTTAATATAGGTTGTCTCAACTTCCTAATACAATATATTGTTTCATCATTTGTAAAACCGTCATAAGTAAATTTTATATGTAGCTTACCCACTGTGTCCAATTTATGATCGTCCGCTGCACCAATTGCATCACATGCCACAATTTTACCCACATATTCTGGAGGTAATTTTTCATAGGGAAAGCAGTTAACATCTGCTCCTGTATCCACAAAAAAAGGTACCTTAAATTTGTCATCCAATAAGATGTCTACATACCAACGATCCTTCTTGTCTAGGTACACTTGGCCAATAAAGGAATCTGTATGTACCACTTGATTTACTGAATCCCTTCCTTCGTCATCTGTACTACTGCTACTGGTGGACCTTGAACACTTAACAGCTCTGACAGCTTTCTTCCTGCACATCACACTCCAATGACCTCTACGTGAACAAGATCTGCATTCAGAGAACTTGGCTGGACATTTCTCCCTATTTTTACATGTAGGTATGCCACAGTATCCACATCTGTAACCTTCCTTAACTTTCTCATGAGTTGTTTCTTGTTTAGCAAAACTCTTACCTTGATGTCTTTTATCACTACGCTCCCTGTAGTCCTGTTTAACTGCACTAACTGACTGCTCCTGTCTCATAATTCTATTTTGACTATCTTGAAGTTCAGCTTGGCGTGCTATTTGTATTGCCTTCTCTAGTGTCAAACCATCATTTAGTTGCATTCTTTCGCTCACCTTTTTATCAGCTATTCCGATAACTATCCTGTCACGAATTAACTCATCTTTAAGAGCTCCATAGCTACAGTGCTCTGCAAGAGTATGTAGACTTGAAATAAAGTTTCCCACAGGTTCTCCTGGCCTTTGTACCCTTGAATTAAATTGAAATCTCTCAAAGATTGTATTTCTTCGGGGAATAAAATGATTGTCGAAAATCTGCATTACATCTTGAAAGGATGCATTCTCCACTGGTTGATTTTGAAGTAAAATATCTTCTGCTTCATTTCCCATTAAATACAACAGTAGGTCTAATTTATCCTTGTCAGATTTTTGTCCAAATCCACTTACAGACATATATCTCTCTACTTTTTCTTCCATTGGGGCCATGTCTGGGGCTGTGTAAAATCAAATTCGCTTGGAGCCGAAATGTTCGCAAACACTTCTTTATTTATTTGGATAGGTGCATCCATTTTAAGGATTTTAGGTCCCCTCTGATTTATAGGTTATGCATAAGATTTGCACTGTTGTCACGTTCGACCACTCTTTGCTTGTTTAATGTTAACAAAACAAAGCACCAGCTGCCACCATGTCGTGTTATCAAAGAGGGGTTACAAATAATAATCGTTACTTCACAACATCAGTTTATTCTCAACCCTCAAACATACATGCTTGCCCGAGCTTCGGCTACGTTCACATGACATCCCCGTCATCTGTGTTGCCTAACTCCGGCGCCTATATCTTAATCTAAGCTAACAACACAGGCATGCCTGTGGATAACAGCCCTTAAGGTTCACTTAGCTTGGGAATATTTCCACAGAATCATTGTCGGAAACTTATAACATAAATATTTCTATAATACCACACTTTATTAATAGCTGAAATAAACTTACTGTTAAACCCCTTTAATTTAATTCCTCCTTTTCCTAAGTGTCTTCTCTGTTGAGGTTGGCGATCAATATGGCAAATTTCTCTCTGTTCTGGGCCTCATGAATTGAATGATGCGTCTCCTGTCACACCACCAAAGGCAAGGAATCGAATAAGACAACTTGAAAATGGAAGAAAAAGGTTGCAAAACGTGATGACTACTTTTGTGAATGTTATGATTCCATTTTCAAACCGTTGTTGAATTTTGATATTTTGTTTTTCGTTTTTGTTGAACCCATTTCAGTACTATGTTCATGATTATTTTTTGTTGTAGATATTCTGCGAAGAATATTCCAGAATACCCAACATGTCACAATTCAAAAATATATAAGTGCTGCTTGTTGATAATGGACGATATATAGAAATTTCATAGCTTATTCTATGAGACCAAAGATAAAGCGGCTCAAGATGCCTTTATTTTGAAATACCTCTGTGAATGGCACTGTCCGTCGTCGGCTGAACAATGAAAAGTATTCTCCAAAGAACCGCCAGGTAAAATGTTCCATCCGTAATTTTTTATCCAATGAAAAGTTCCAGTGTACCAAGCAGCTTTTTCAACGTGCTAAGGATAACAAAGCAAAGGTTTTCCGATGATAATACGATTTAATGAAACAAGCCAAGTAGCGATTGAACGCAGAGGTGATGATTGAAAAACTGCGAAATATCGGAAAAATAAGCTGGAAGAAGTGCAAAAGTTAAGAGGTTAGTCTTCGTAACAGTTTCCAGCTGTTCTCCGCGTGTAGAGGTTCTCTCACCGGCTCTGGAACTCGCTTCAGCTATGTGTTACCTCTAGCCAAATTTAATTTAATACTGAACATCACAGTTAATTTATAACACAATGTATATTCTTTTATAACTAAATGTAATTTAAAGGGTTTTTAACCTAGTATTTTGGTGGCTCAGGCATTGTGACCTAGCATTTTTTCAATTTTAAAACCTGATGATGGACTGTGTGGTCCGAAAACGTTTGTTTTATTGATGTAGCCCTTTTAAGGTTTTTTTTTTAACAAATATACCCATTTACGAAGACTAACCTCTTTTTTGTGATACGTGGTATACAGCCAGTTACAGGAATTTTTTTCCTTGTGGATTTCAAAAGTTAATAAACCAATTAAAATGTACTGAATCCCATTACTGCCGTTCAGTAACGAAAAGAATGTATCTTCCATCTGAACAGCGTCTCAAAATTGTATTTAATGTACACTGCTCAGACAATTACATGGAAGACTGTGAAGAGAGGCGTATTTTCGCTATATATGTAATAGAAAATATAATTTGAGCTTTAAAAGTACAAGAACAGACGTTTGCTCAAAATGTTTAAGAGCTCAGTGAACGCATTAAATACGAAAAAAACAAGCATTCTAAAATTAAACTAATGACTGAAAAACGGCTCCACAAACTTCAAGCGAAAGTATTTTTCCAATTTCTTCAAGAAAACAAGAAGACTTTCACTTTGTCGTTTGACTGCCAAAAAAAATTGGTCCTCTTCAAAGTTCCTGATCAAAGTGCTTTTTATTCAAAGCAGCTTTATTTTATAACTTGTTGTTGAAGGTTCCTCAAAGTCTCCACTTTCAATGGAAAACGTATTTTCATTCTGTTGGACTGAGAACATGTTTGGCAAAGGGTCAAATAAAATTTCCTGCAGTCTTCTATCAACTCAATGACACTGATTTTGGCAACATGTCAAAGAAGGTACGACTGGTGGCCAAAATAAAAACTCGATGATTGCCATGTGCTGCAAATGTTAAATTGCTTGAGTTAGTTTTTCCTGTAGTTGGTCAGTCATTCTTACCATTCGATAGAGTTTACGGTCAAATTGGGAAGAATTTATGAAAACGAGAAGTAGTAACGCCACCTGGCGAATACAAAGAAATTATTTCTGAATTTTCTACGGTCGTTGATATGAAATAAAGCTGTGTTTACGATTGGAAGTCTGCTGTTCAAGAGGTTCTTAAACCAGTTGCAGCATGAGGTTTTCAGACTAGGGAATGTAAAAGGTATATTTTAAAATGATGTAGGACAGTCATTACAAAAATGATTTCGGATCTTGTGTAAATATCACACGAAAAGGCATACGGATTAGCATGATCAATCCAGAAAAACTTACCCCCCATGCTTACAAAGTAAATAATTTAAAACTGCGTGATGTGCGAAATCTTTTAACCAAACATTTTGATTTACACTGGACATAACTAGATCAGCTTAACTACTATAAAGAGCTTTTTCAATGTTATGAACAAGAAGCAAATGAGAACTACTTAGAGAATCTTGTTCCAGAGTTAGAGTCTGTCGAAATCTGTTAATATACACCCGATCTTCCGGATATTTTAGTTTAAGTGATATGTATGTAAATTGTTTACATATGATATTATTGTCCAATATTAAATTTTTTTTCACTAAGTAACCGACACAATGCTGTTTTATTAGTTTCAAAACTGGCAATATCCTTATAGATCATTTTTATATCCGTCAATCTCAAAGCATTGCAAACAAAAACGGAAATCTCCAAAATCAAATATTAAAAAAAGGAAAAAAAAATTCTTAAGCTCCTCTTTCTGGACATCCTATTACAAATCAAATTTTATATCATTCTTCATCAGTTTTATTGTTTTAATTTAATTTTGTTAGTTTCTACAGTTTTTCGGGGTTTCCCAAAGTTATGGAAATGGGAGATTGCCGACGTTGATTTTACACCCCTCTTATCTGGACCTGATTTCTTGTTGAGTTTAAGGTATTTGATGTAATCTAATGAAAAAAGAACAATATATTTACCATATTTATTTAAAACGATTGTTTCTATACAATATTATACCAAAATATGAAGATTTCTAACAAGTATAAATAATTTACAGTCTAGGTTCATTACAAAAAAGAAATTCAAAATAATATGACATTGGTATCTCCCCAAAAGTAACTACTGTGACTTTTATAAATTTGAAATTGAAAATTTAGCATCACTGTTTTTATATATACATTAAAAAATTAAATGTTAAATTTATGTATAAATAGTAAATTTTTATCATTTAATAATTCCCTTCATTCTCAGAATACAATAGGCAACGGGCCTTTTTACCATGAGACGAGCGCAAGCCATCGAGCAAAAAGACAAAAGAGGGAATCTAATCCTTATGAAAAGGAGACCAAAAAAGTGGCCTCTGATGGCGGACATATCCGGAAATGCGAATGCGTCAAATTTAAATTTTCCGACACTTATTAACAGTAGCTATATAATATTTTTCACAATGTGTCTTAGACGAGAAAGGTTTAATTAATTATTAACGGTAATAGTCTAAAATGCGACACAATTGTTAAAAAACTTCCATATAAATAAGATTTCATGTGACATTTGGGACAAACAACAACATAACCCAACTAAATTTGATGTCAAACAAGGAGAGAGACTCTCTTTCCTTGTTTAATGTGGCCTCTAAAGATCGCACTTCCTGTCTAACAATACTTTTGCCCCCACTACCTTTACATTCCCTCTTTTGTCTTTTTGCTCGATGGCGCAAGCGCAGCCGCCATGTTCAAACAACCCAAAATTTAAGATTTCAAAGTTTCCCCTTGCCCCGCTCTAGGGGTCGTGTTTGAGGTACTTTTTTCTTTATTTTCGTATTTCTTTTTTTGAATAACTATACTTTCTTAGCACTTTTTATCTTAATTATGTATTCCCAGGTAACATCATTACAAAAAAAAAAACGAAAAAAAGTCTGATACAAAAAAATAGTGAAGAAAAAGCCTACTGTGTGAAAAATGACAACGTCAAAATTGGATGATGTTGAATGAACCTTAAAAGAAATAATGCACATAACTGTCTGTCAAACAAGTAAAAAAACGACCATATTTGAGCATTTGGAATAATTCAATTATCTTGAAAGTTTTTTAGTTAAAATTAATATACCTATATAATATATAGATAAAATATATAAAGAAAAAAAATACATCTTTTCTGTATAGAATTCCGGTGTGACTTTTTAGTTATTAAGAATTCTTGTCGAAAATACAAAAAAATTTTAGAATTAACTTGCTGTGATCAAAGTTGGGCCTTATGGTACTTAACCACATAAAATAGCAAAAGTTGAACCATCCCTATGTACAAAAAAGTGAAAAAAGAATATTTTTTTAATACAAAATCTTTTTGAAAAATTAATGCCATTTTGCCAGTTCTGGCCAGTATATACAATAGAGTCTGTGGTTACGTAGTTCTCTACACGTGCGTCATTAATACTTGGAGAAATAAAACACATACTTTTTACCAAGCATCATCGTATTCAACGCATGAAACTAAACACAAACCAGCTACCCCCTGTTATTAAGTAAAGACACACGTTATTTTTATGAACGCTCTAGAATCAGTACACCTAAAAGAGATAGGTACAAAAAGACGCTTGGGGACGTTTTCCGATTTTAAGTACAATTTATGACGTTTCTGGTTTGTTTACTTGTGGCTGTCAGTTTGTTGGATTTTTGCTGTTGTTTGTATCTTACGTAAATACACGAAATAGTACGTATCTACGACAAGTTGTATTTTTAGACGAAACGTGGATTTTTTCTAGGAGAAATAGAATGATGTCGTGCCAGGATGACAACAGCAGAGGTGTACGTAAACCAGGTAGTTATGATGGAAAAAGATGTATTATGGTTCATGCCGGTTCAGCAAAAGGTTTTATTTCAAGACGCTAGTTTGTTATTTTGTTCCAAATTCTTGACTGCAGATTATCACGTTGAAATGAATAGTACAATATGTATTTACTAAAGTACACAATTACTTCCTAATTTAGAACACCCTTCTTTGATTGTCTTGGACAACGCATCTTACCATAGTGAAATCACGAATAAACAATCTTCCGCTAATTGGTTAAAATCAGACATTATAGATGGGTTGATGAAATACAATGTTAATTTTGATGAACATCAGTTAAAGCCAGAATTGTTACAATTGGCAAGGATAAATCGACAAGAAAATATATAATTCAGTAGACTCCCATGCTCAAACACGAGAACAGCCAAAACATCATAACTTCAACCTAAAACAATTAAACTACTCCCAAGATAGACGAAACAGAACAAATCGAACTTCGGATAGCTTCAAAATCTTAAACAAAAACGTGAAGAAAGATATCAGGATCGTAGAAACTATACTAACAATCTAATAAAAGATATAATACAAGATAACTGTAATATGAAAGTGCTAAAAGCATAAAACTCAAGCGACATAACAAAAATCATAGAAATAAAAAATGAGAAAAACGTCACCGTCCGAGACAGAAAGGAACTAAGCGAGGCCATTGAAAAATTCTACACTAAATTATACTCGGTAAATACACAACCACAACAACGACGTACTGAACAAACAATAAATAACACCGGCTCAGAAGAAATACCGGACATAACCGACTATGAAATAAGAATGGCCCTAAATCAACAAAAAACGAATAAATGTCCGGGAGAGAATAAAATTACAGCTGAAATGTTGAAAATTGGTTGCAGAAAAATGGAACAGGTATTAAATATTTTATTTAATATAGTAATTGATGAAGGACAGATTTCTCAAAAATGGGACAACTCAGAAGTCATTCTACTATTCAAGAAAGGAGACAAAGCAAAAATCGAGAATTACCGACCAATATCCTTGCTATCACATCTGTATAAATTACTAACTAAAATCACAACCAACCGCCTAACAGATAAGCTCGATTTCTATCAACTTGTCGAGTAGGCTGGATTCAGAAAACGTTTTAATACCATAAACCACTTGCACACCGTAAGAACACTAATAGAAAAATGCACCGAGTATAATGTTCCAATTCATATGGCGTTCGTCGATTTCCATAAAGCATTCGATTCTATCTAATTATGGCATCGAGCAAAAAGACAAAAGAGGGAATCTAATCGTTATAAAAAGGAGACCAAAAAAGTGGCCTCTGATGGCGGACATATCCGGAAATGCAAAGGCGCTAAATTTAAATGTTCCGACACTTATTAACAATAGCTATAAAATATTTTTCAGATGAGAAAGTTTTAATTAAACATTAACGATAATAGTCTACAAAGTGACACAATTGGTAAAAAACTTCAATGTAAATAAAATTTCATGTAACAGTTGTGACAAACGATGGGACAAACAATAACATAACCAAACTAAATTTGATTTCTTAAACAAGGAAAGAGACTGTCTTTCCTTGTTTAAAGTGGCCTCTCAAGATAGCACTTCCTGTCTAACAATATTTTTGTCCCCACTACGTTTACATTCCCTCTTTTGTCTTTTTGCTCGATGAATTATGGGCAGAGCTTGAATCTCTAGAATATGCGCGTATAGATTCAAGATACACTAACATAATTAAAAACATATATGAAAATGCCACCATGCAGATAAAGCTGGACGAAAGCACAAAAACTAATCCCATAAGACTACAACGGGGAGTAAGACAAGGAGACACCATCTCTCCCAAACTATTTACCCTTGCTCTAGAAGACATTTTTAAGAAATTAGAATGGAACAATAAGGTATCAACATCGACGGATCATACTTAAACCACTAGACATTCGCAGAAGACATAGTTTTAATAGACGATAATATCCAAGAACTAAATGATATGTTACAACAATTAAATGCAGTTTCAGGAGCGGTAGGCTTAAAAATGAACTACAGTAAAACAAAAATACCCAGACCAGACAAATATAACAATACAAAATCATACCATAGAAAATGTTGAACATTATGTATATCTAGGTCATGTCATCAAACTAGGAAAACCAAATCAAGATGCTGAAATTAAAAGAAGAACACAACAGGCATGGGGCGCTGTCGGCAAACTAGCAAATATCTTGAAAAACACCTCCATTCTTTTAAACTTAAAGAAAAAGGTGTATAACACATGTATACTACCAGTTTGTACCTACCGCTTGGAAACAGTAATAGCCCTTACCAAAAAAACGGCTAAAAATTAGAAACAACGCAAAGAGCAATAGAACGAATCATGCTTGGAATATCACTGAGAGACAAGATTAAAAACACCGAGATAAGACGTAGAACGAAGATTAGGGATATTGTGGAAGAAATTACAAAAAATGAAATGGCGCTGGGCAGGTCACGTAGCCCGATATGACAACAGGTGGACACGAAGAATTCTAAAATGGAGACCAAGGACGACAACAAGAAGCATGGGAAGACCTCAAAAAAGATGGGTAGATGGCATAAGAGCAGTTGCAGGCAAACAGCGGATTACATTGGCGCAAGATAGAGAAAGATGGAAGTAATTGGGAGAAACCTACATTCAGGAGTGGATGGAAAATGGTTGACAAAGAGAATGTTATTAAAAGAATTTATTAAGCTATGTTCAATCACAAATTAACCCCTTAATTTGTAATCTCACATTATTTTTAACTTCTTAATCTTTCATAGTTTCACCGTGTATAAGTGAGATATTGTAAAACCATATCGTATATTTTAATAATTAGTTCATTTACCTACAACTAAATAAATTGCCGAATAATATATTTTTTAATTGAACTTCCTAATTGTCGCAATTAAGGCCTAGATTAAATTGTAATATAAGCAAATAGTTCAAGGTTTGTTGGTATGGTATGATAGAAAGCAATAACCTCTGTGCTGAGGTATGAATTATTTGTGAGATTATAAATTGGGGATTTGAGCTCATGTGAGTAGTTTATTACCAGTAGTTACCTAACGAACATCATATTGTGTAATTACCAGTAGCTGTCAATAAAATCAAAATTTTCTGCATAAATTCAACCTTTTATTATATTTATCATCGTCGATCGACAAAAAGCGGACAAAGGGGCTTTATAAAACGTTTCGAACCTCATAACTACATTCAAATCTCTCTATTGGTTCTTCGAGTCGGATCCATAGGTCGCTGGTTCAATCCGGCTCGAAGGACCAATGGAAAGATTAAAACCTTATAACTACGTTCGAAGCTACGTAGCTTCGAAGCTACGTAGCCACGTTGTGTCACTTGCTGGTGCGTGGTGTACATTTCCGACTTCGTATGGTTTAAATAATGACGCACGGGTAAAGAACCAGGACTGTACTTACCTTTTTAATAAGTAAAAGTTCGAAGAAAATCCTTTTCTTGACTGGATTATTCCAAAGCCCCGTGAAAGGTGGAGTATTAATCACGGCAAACAAATTAATTTCAACGATCATATATCCATATATACCAGAGCTTGTTTTTATGCTCTAGCTATGTAGTTTCTGAATGCAGTTGCAGAAATGACAGTGATTATGTCGAGTATAAGTCATTTGAATGACAAAACCTCTAAAAACGTAGAGTAGTCTCTACTTCTTCTCGATATTTTTCACCAAACTTCGCCCCAACACGAAAAAGTCCTCGATTACGGCATCAAAGTTAAAAACAACTTTATCATCCTCTAGTTTACCTCCGTTAATTTTACTAACCTTAAACTCACCCGTTTCAAACACTCTCGGATGCCACAAAACTCCTATTACATTGCCTCCATAGCTGTCGTGGAAGAATAAAGCGTATTTTCCATAATTATTTCTGAGAGTTTTCAAATATTCTGCGACGGGGTCGAAGTTTACGATCGGTATTCGATCGTAGGTGTTCGCTGCGTATTTTTCTACTACAGTTCTATTTTGGACGGCAGAGAAAGCGATTTGTTCATGCCTTCTGGAATTAAACACACGTTTTATGTATATTAGGACATTAAATCCTTCAAAGTTAGGAATGAAAAGTTCCTTTATACCAACGTTGTTCTGTCCTACGATAATCTGATCGATAAACTTCAAGCTTTCTATAGCTAGTAACTTAATTCGGTTCAAAATTTGCTTAGATGGAGCATTTTTGGTTATAGTGCTGAAATGGTCATATGGTGTTACAATGCAGAGGTTTGGAAAGCTGTTCCTGTTATTAGTAACTTCAGACTCGATCGTAGCTATGTCGTCTTTGGATAGATCTTCGTTAAAATTGACAATTACTAAATATAAGGTAAAGTCTGTTTCAGATAGAAACTTGAGGAACCTCAAAAACGATTTCTGTGGAGTAACTGGGTTAGGAGAGTTTTCGTTCAGGTATAGTGAAGCAGCTAGAAGATTGATAACCAGATCTGAAATATGAAACTCGTCCAGAAGGTGAGCTCTTAACCATCGCTTGATTAAAGCAGTACCAGGTCCATAACTTGGATATGAAGATTGTATACCTCTAAGGCCGCCAATTATCTTCGGTACCAAACTTAACGACATTTCCATGTTATAACTTTCCAAAGAATCTTTATAACTAGTTAAACCACCCTCACTATGTATTTTCTTCACTAGACCGACTTCTTTAGACACAAACAGCCTGTACCGAAAGACTATACCTTCGTAAAATACGTCTAAATATCCAGGAGTTGGATGTGTCAGAAGCCCATGGTTATCTTTCAATAGCTTCGCGATTTCTAAATAGAACGACGTTTTAATGTGACGAAGAGCTTGAAGATCGTTCGGCCATTTCGAACTGAGTTCGAGCTGTAACACACAATCAACTGTTTGAACATATCGAGGCATTTTCTTAAATTTTTGGTCTATGTTAAAGACTATATTGTCACGAACAGTTAAGGCCATGCTAGAATCCGCCTGAAATAAAAAAAATATATCACAATTACAAAATCAATGATATGCATACAATGCCAGCAAAAGTAAAAAGTGTGGTTGACAATATTGTTGAAGAATCAATGCATTCAATTCTCTTGAAGTTTGAATGTCGTAAGAATTTGTATAATTACAAAAAAAATCTAATAAAGTTTTATACCTGAAAATTTGCTGGTATCGGTGGAAAAGGTTGAGCGTAAGCGAAGACATCTGATGCTCCTTGCACGCCGGTGATCTTCAACGACAACTGCAACTCCCGCAACATCTTGCTCAATGCGTCTGATGCATGAATGATTTTCAAACACGTCTCTTCATTAGTACCACTTGGGTAATTCGGTACTAAACGTTTGAATAACATTAGATCTTCACATTTGTCATAGAAAATCTGAAATATATAAACAACTACTTACTGAGGAACATACAATTTGGTAAATTATTTCATTTACACAGAGATGAAACGTACTCAGATTAATACTTATGACAGAAAGTTAACAAAATATATTCTCCAGCAAACTAAGCTTGTTGTTTAAAAAGAGACTGCATGTGGTTTTTCATTCAACCAGTGCAAACTTGAGTGGAAGTAGTGTACTAGTGTTTGTTAACAACAAGCTAAAATCACAAACCATTAGTATTCATGAAGATTGGGTTGAGCAAATATATATCTTGTGTCAACTTAATGAGGTCAAGTCTGTGGTCAGTGGTGTTTCCATATCTCCACAATCACCTAGTGAAGTATACAACTGGCATTTTCAAACTGTGGAAAATGTTCTGAATTCTCAGCAAAGGATATTTATGTTTTTGGTGATTACAATCTTCCCAATGTATCATGGGAGAATGATGAGTTTGGTATAATGGTGCATTGACCTGCAGGTGATCCAGATGTGACCCCCTTGTAGATCCTAGCATCCATCATGTGGGTTATGAATGTTGCATAAGCCTCGATGTAAAGGAAACAAATAGAAATAAGTTGGTTTATGATGAGTTGTTTTATGATTTTTGAATGGTGATTACATTGCACTTAACAACTTCCTTGCTTCCAAAGACTGGCAGGTATATATGGTTAATGATGTTGAAGTTGCTACAAAATTATTCTATGAAGTTCTCTCTACAGGAATTGCTTACTTTATGCCATTGAAGAAATATAGAACTTCAACTTTTCCCAAGTAGTTCTTTGCTGATCTTAGTAGACTGACTCTGTGAGAAAAAAATATGCTCACTATGTCTATGATAATCATACTAATGTGGGTATACATACATACAATCATACAGTAATCATACATACAAAATGGCAAAAAACAAAATCACACGAAACACCAAACGACCAACATACAATCTAGACAAATTAAAAACGGCTACAGGAAGACACATGTTTAGGGAGGAACTTCAACTCAAAAGAAGAGAACGTGAAGTAAATAGCTGGGAAGATCTGGCAAATGTTTTGACAGAAATAGCTGAAGATAAACTGGGTAAAAAAGAGAAACATAGAAAAGAATGGATATCAGATGAAACTTGGAATCTTATCGAAGAAAGAAAAACAGCAAAAAAAAGATATTTGCAAGCAAGAACTGTAGAAGAAAGAGCGAACCGACAACAAGAATATGAAACAATAAATAAAGCAGTTAAAAGAAATGCAAGAAGAGACAAAAGAAGATGGGCTGAAGAACTGGCAAAACAAGCCGAAACAGCTGCACAACACAATAGAACTAGAGAGCTATACCAAATTACTAGACGTCTAACAAAAAGTGGGCCCAACTGTTTAAACGTCGTAAGATCCAAGACAGGAGAACTACTTACTACAACAAATGACCAAATAGAGAGATGGAAAGAGCATTTTCAGGAGATGCTAGGCACGCCCAGGGATAACGCAGATGAAATTGTCGAAAATCCACAGAATATAGACTTGCGTATATCTTGCGACGCCCCTTCCAAAACAGAGATAATAACAGCTATCAAATCTCTGAAAAATAACAAGTCTCCGGGAATCGATAACATTGCTGCCGAAATACTTAAAACTGATCCGCATCTAACTGCTGAACTTTTGCTCCCCATAATTCGAGAGGTGTGGGAAACAAACCGCATTCCAGCGGGCTGGAAAAAAGGCATCATTACTAAGCTTCCAAAAAAGGGCAACCTCACACTATGCAAAAATTGGAGAGGAATAACCTTGCTTACCGCCATAAATAAAATTTTCACGACCATCATACTTAAAAGATTAACAAACAAGGTTGAATTTCGAGCTAATCAAGTAGGCTTTAGACCAGAATCCTCCTGCATAGACCACATTAATACTGTGAGGCTAATAATGGAACAATCGGTTGAATGGAACGCACCCCTATACATGGTTTTTGTTGATTTCGAGCGTGCTTTTGACAGCTTATCTCATGATGCGATATGGAAAATTTTAGAGCTAAGAAACATCCCGCATAAAATAATTTCCATTATAAAGTTACTGTACACTGAAGCGAAATGCAGCGTGACACACAATGGGATCAACAGTGACGAATTTGACGTACTTACTGGAGTCAGACAGGGATGCGTGCTTTCTCCGTTTCTTTTTAACATAGCTCTAGACTATGTTCTCTCCAAACTAGACTCTGACACAAGAGGGATACAATGGACGCTAACCACACGCCTAAGCGATCTAGAATACGCCGACGATATCTGCCTGTTAGGACAAAGGTTCCAAGATGTGGCTGACCAATTGGAAACACTTTCCACTGAAGCCAATAAAATAGGTTTGAAAATCAATATTGGTAAAACCAAATCCATGAGAATAAATGCAAGAAACAACACGCTATTCACCATTAATAACATGCAGATTGAAAATGTGGAAAACTTTACGTATCTTGGAAGTGTCATAACAGAAAGCGGAGGTACAGAAGACGATATTCGTATGAGGATACGAAAAGCGCAACAAGCTTTCAGCATGCTCAACCCTGTTTGGAGGTCTGGAGAATACACTACGAGAACAAAGATCCGCATATTCCAGTCAAATGTCATGTCTGTACTACTTTACGGATGTGAAACCTGGAAAGCGACAAAAACCCTTACAGACAAACTGCAGGTCTTTGTTAATAAATGTCTACGAAGAATTGTTCGTATTTTCTGGCCTAACATCATCAGAAACGAAGATTTACTACACCTGACCAAACAAAAGAGGGTAGTAAATGAAATAAAGTCCAGAAAGTGGGGTTGGATCGGTCACACACTCCGAAAAAGTAACTCCAGTATTGCAAAGACTGCCCTAGAGTGGAATCCCCAAGGAAAACGAAAAAAAGGTCGCCCAGTACAAACTTGGAGAAGATCCATCATGGACGAGATAAGAAAACAAGGAAAGTCTTGGAATGAGGTGAAGGCCTTAGCGCAAAATAGAACCCGATGGCGCGTTTTCACTGAAGCTCTATGCTCCACTTAGGAGTTCAAGAACCTTATATATATATATACAATCTTCCCAATGTATCATGGGAGAATGATGAGTTTGGTATAATGGTGCATTGACCTGCAGGTGATCCAGATGTGACCCCCTTGTAGATCCTAGCATCCATCATGTGGGTTATGAATGTTGCATAAGCCTCGATGTAAAGGAAACAAATAGAAATAAGTTGGTTTATGATGAGTTGTTTTATGATTTTTGAATGGTGATTACATTGCACTTAACAACTTCCTTGCTTCCAAAGACTGGCAGGTATATATGGTTAATGATGTTGAAGTTGCTACAAAATTATTCTATGAAGTTCTCTCTACAGGAATTGCTTACTTTATGCCATTGAAGAAATATAGAACTTCAACTTTTCCCAAGTAGTTCTTTGCTGATCTTAGTAGACTGACTCTGTGAGAAAAAAATATGCTCACTATGTCTATGATAATCATACTAATGTGGGTAACACCCAGAGCATTAAAATAAATGGTGTGTTGTTTCAATCTGTTGACGTCCTCTCTGGAGTACCACAGGGATCACATTGTGGTCCTCTTTGTTAACGATGTTGAGAAAGTCATTAAGTATTCAAATTTTCTCAACTTTGCTGATGATAAAAAAATTTATAAAGTCATTACTTGTCAGTATGATCAAATTCAGCTACAAGAGGATCTCAGCAGATTTAGCAATTGGTGCAAACTAAATGAATTAAAATTGAACAATGATAAGTGTTGTGTTATTACTTTTCACAGGAAGCAAACAATTTTAAATTACGATAATAGCATTGATAACACTCAGCTGTCTAGGCAGGACTGTGTTAAGGATTTAGGTGTTTATTTTGATTGTAAATTAGCATTTCGTAAGCATCTAGAGGTCACAGTAAACAGTTTATTTAAACAATTAGGGTTTATAACTGGAAACACTTCTCAATTTTCATGTTTTGTTTTACCAATTCTTTTTAATAGTCTCATTCGCTCCAGACTAAAATATGCAATAGTTGTATGTATAGATGTTGTAACATCTATAGACAAGCTTGATTATGTTCAGCATAAATTTGGTAAACACTATCATTACTGTAGTACTTTTCATGACCTCTCTGTCCCATACAGTTTTAATATGATAGCTGATCACTTGAAAATGGTTTCTATGAATTAGTGAAAATATTATTTTTGCCTAATATTCCTTTAAAAAATTGCTAATAATTTGATAAATTGCCCTGAACTTTTAAATCGATTAGGTCTTAACACTCTTCATGGAACTAGGCATACTTCATTATTTCATCAATTTAATTATGAATACTTCAAGCCTCTTACTTATATGGTGAGACTATATAATAGGTTTTCCAATATTATGCTTACTTTGTAAAATTTTATATATTATACCTTGTTCCAATGTAAATGGTATATCTGTTAATAAATAAATAAATTAATTCTTTTGCAGTGCTAATTTGCTTTTCAAGTTCTACATTAACTCTTCCTTGCTTTAATAAGTGAGTCATATAAATTTTCAGATTATCTATATGATGATTGGATCTTTCATGTTGGTTAAATATTTCCTTACTTTTATTCCATGATGAAAATCCTGTTTTAAATTGGCCTTTTTTTTCAACTAAGACACAATAAAGACAAAATATATTGCCAGTGCTCTCGGAGTAAATAGCTTAATCGCGGTGAACCACTTCTCCATTAACCAGTTTTTTATAAAATACTTGCTTACTGGCATACCTGTTTTGTTCGCCAAAATTTCTGTTTGATATTGAGAAGTCCATATCTGTAAGATTCTGATCGACCCATTTTTCTAGAATCATTTCTGCACAAATATGGCAATTTTACCAAAGTACTGGATCTTTAAAGTTAATTAAAGGTATGCTTCTCAAGTACCACCCTGGAACCTGCAACCACCTGGTGCTATAGCCTCAAAAAGATCCCTGGTTCAACTGGCGCTTGTATGTAAGATTTTTGGTCTCATTTTTTAAACTTTTTATTATTGATTTTATATTATAAGTAATTTCAAGTTTTGAATCCTAACTGTGATATTGTATATTGTAATTTAAACTGTTAATAAGGTTTTCCTGTGTATTTCATATTTCACAATTGCCAAATTATTAAGTACTACTGATTTACAAATAATACCTCAGTACATAATAAAAGTACTTACCTTAAACTGCAACTGCAGTTTTTCTTCTAAAACAAAGCTGATGATCTTTTTGATTATATTCCTTTTTGCTCTAATAGTATTGGTTCTAAAATACACTGCTACATTTATAGACCCATCTCTAAACCTTCTATCTGTTGCAAGGTGTCCCCAAAAGTTTCTAAACTCAGCTGCTTCTTCAAACTTGTCTAAAGCCGGTCCTTTGTCTATAAAATTGAAAGCTTCATTGGGATTTAGGTTGATTCCAAGAAGGAAACTCTTGATATCAGTACCACATAGTTCAATTCTTGGTACAATGTTGCAGATTCTTTTGTTTAAAGCTCTGTTGAGCATATTTGAAATATGATTAAATATAAGGACATTTTCATAACCAATATGTGTAGATTTTTCTTCATCAGAAAATTCAAATTTATTTTGAACACTAAGAGAACTGGAAAGGTCAATAACTAGATCATATTGATGTTGAAATGGGTACTTTGTGAGGAACAATTCTCTAAATGACATTATTCTATTTTCATCTAGATGTTTAATAGCAACCTGGCTTTCTAATTTCACCTTTTTGTACATATCTTTAGTTAAAAACGAAGTTAAATTGTAACATCCGGTTTTATCTAAGAATACTACATCAAAATGTTGCCTAAACTTTGTTAAAATCTCAGAAGTTACTTCTGTAATACTTATATTTTCCGTTAAAAGATCTGTAGTGCTTAAATAATTCCAAAAGTACCTCACTACTTGATATGAACTCATAAACTTCGTAATTTTCTTCTTGTGCACTAAATAAGCTACCAAATACAGCACCAATCTTTCTGTGAAAGCCCCAAAACCAATGTTAAGTTCTCTTTGATTTACCCAAACACACAATAACTTAATTCCATCCTGAACATGTTCATGATCTTTTAAAACTTCTATAACAAATTCATTATTATCATAAAGAGTTACATCATGAGCTAGTAAACTGTTGTAAAGAATAGTAGGAGAGCTTTTTAATGTATCTAGATCAATGTTACTTTCAAACAAATCCACTTTAACATTGTTTTGTTCTGTTAGAAACCTGGGACACTTAAATGTTTCATTTTGCGGTGAAACATACACAAAAACATCTGTTTTATCACAATCCTTAGGCTGTAACTTTATTATTGGACACATATGATTGCTTTCATGGTACACAATCTCTGTATTATCAACTAAGCTCTTCTGTTTCAAGTATTCTGCTATGTACAATAAATAATACCACCTCTTTACCAAATAACGATTATTCAAATAGTCTTTTGTTAAAAAAGCACTTTGGGGAATCACTACATTTATATTTAATGATAAATTGGGACCCGGCAAACAATTATTTTCATATAAACCAAAATACTGTACACTTTCTGGTTTGTCAAATATTAGGCTAATATCTTGGTCAGTTTCAAATATTCTTTTAGGAGTAGTAATCCTTTTTAAAAAAGTTTTTGCTTTCTTTTTCTGTTTTCCCAATTTCTCGAGTTCAGATAATTGCAATTTCTTATCCGGCAACGATTCTAAAATGCTATTAAATAATGTTAACCACTGTGCCAACTTAGTCTTTCTTTTATTCTTTATTTTAATTTCATTTAACAGTTCTGTGATTTGAAGCCTAAACAAATTATTATTGTACAGATTTTCTACTTCCCTTAAATTGTTTAATTCTTCGACTGTCGGTGGTTTATACAATTCGTTTTTATGTTTTTTCTTGGGTGGAGAAACAGCAGTTGTTGGAATGTCTTCATACTTTCTTTTAGATTCTTTCGATTCCTGAACAGGATTTGCAATTTCTGCTTCATCTTCCGACTCCGAATCCCAATCTTCATTTATATTGTTTATTACGTCCATATTTTTCATTATGATAACTATTTAAGATAGTCAGGTCACAGCATGGTCAGGTAAATAAAATTTTAAAATTCACACACAAACACAAAAGTATTTTGAGGTTATGAAAATAAAACACATGTGAATCATAAATCATATATGTGTCAAATGTCATTACGGAGACCACAACACTGTTGTCATGTTTTGTTTGAAAACATTTAAGAAATAAATATAAAAATATAATCAAACATAATTGTTGGCTTTAATTTTATTTTATAAAGAATAATTGGAATAATATTAACTAAATAATTATTTTAAAATATGTATTTTGATTATGATTTTCTGATTTTAAGGTCTGTATATTTGGTTGCCTATATCAAAGGCAGGTGACATTATTTATTTTTAAATGTGTTTGGATTAAAATGATAAGACTGTGGAACAAGTAATTATCATATATTTTTTAAACAAGATAATTACCGAAATAACTCTTCAAATAAATTATTTCTTTTGTGACATAGTTTTCTTGTTATTTAAAATTCCGTATAGTGTTCATCAATACATAAACTAAGTAGGGAATATTTATCATCTTTTGTTTATAAAAAATAAACATTTTATCAAATTTAATAGAGGTAATAAAAAAAGATGTGTTTGTAGGTTACTGTATGGTTACTGCTCTTCAGAGTCTTCAGTAGTTATTTATATATATTTATATATCTATGCTGCTCTTTCATACATGACCCAATGTTAAGTAGGTATACTCCTCTCCTATCGGTATGTAAGCAACTCAGATCGGTAAAAGGTGGTGGTGGGAGTAAGCTTTTGAAACCTCTCGTAATTCTTTGACTCTTGTATTTGTGTATCCATTTGCAAGTTCCGAAAGGTATTAGACGTGGGTCGGAATATCTTTATCTCTCGTTTTTATCATTCATTCATATATTTTCGGTAGTTCTCTCAGAAAGTTAGTGTATTTTATGTCTTTAAGTGTTGTTGAATTCGTGTTTATATATCTAGTACGTGAAAACTTTATTGTTACTTAAGGAATATACTTAAAAATCTTCCAGAAGGTGAGTTTGACTTTATTTTTTGTTTTGAGCTAAAATCCAAGTAATGTTTTGATATTTAAGACGATTTAAAAGTAGGTATCATGTTTTTTAAATATTAGAAATTGATTTGTAATTTTGACGTTCTTTGACCATTTTTCGTAAGTTTACTATTGAATGTATTTATTTTAATAACAAAAACATTATGCCAGCATTCACTTAAAACGAGTTTTTAAGTGTTTTTACACTCGAGTTGGGTTCCTCAAGATGTTGTTTTGATTGAGTAAATATTTAAAGGTGCTGTTATTTTAATAGACATCATAAAATTTTTGTTTATGTTCAATGTAATGTTAATATTGGTGCATGAGGTACATAACTGTTGATTCCAAGTTTTGTGTTGTTTCTTTTTTTGTTTGATTTAGCATTTTGAGTATTGCAGATGAGTTTTAGTGTTATTGTTTATTTTATAGATCTATAATTGTTATTGACAACACTATGTACTTCTTGCAATATATTTTTGATAAATATAGTTTTGCTTACAAATTTTTAGTATCGTTTAAAACCGAACTGGTTTAGTTGAAAATTGTAATAAAATTATTAATCAAGTGAGTAGGTAGATAAGATACTGAAAGGTCATCATGGTTTTTCCTTAGAAATTAAGCTGTCTGTTTGATATTGATATATCGATTATTTCGTTCTACGTTAATTGATGCATTTAATTGGCTATAATCTTTTGAGTTTTAAGTTTTTCTTTCAAAAACAGTCTATATTTTATATAAAGTTAAATAGTGGCACGGAGAAGTTGAACTTAATCCAGCGTACCGGCATCTTTTTAAAAATTACCTGCTCAAAACAAATACAAAGTTTATTGTTTCTGACTTTCTTGAGTACTTACCTGTTCCTAAATAATAACAATAGAATAGTTTTGTCTATTATGTGCTGTGTAATTCAAAGTTAGAAGTAGATTTAGAAACCTTGAACAAATTGTCACAAACCTGCATTTATCACAGAAGCGGACGTGATTTTCTGAATAGTAGAGACGATAAAGAAGTTATTTAGAATTGTAAAATGGTAGTAGATATCCTTCCGTGGTCAAATTTTAATCCTCATAAAAAAGGTTCTTAGATAAGTTCGCTCACTTGCGAAACTTCTTAGAAAGCAAGAATTTTGTCATTTTATTTTTATTTATTATTTTGTCATTATAGAAAAGTCATTTTTTGTCTATAAAACGTTATTTATGCAGCTTAGTGATAAATGGTTTAAGCAAAAATTGTAGATTTAAAAATGTTCTTCAATTTGCAAGTTTCGAAATGAAAATACATTAAGAATTCATCAAGATAATTGCAAAAATCCCTTAATTTTACAGTAAATAATAATTTTGTTTTTTATATAATTTCATGTAATATAACTACTTAAAATTGTGGCAGTTAATGAGTTATTAAAGTGTGCTAAATTTCAAATAGATCGACCAAATAGTTATTCAATTTGTTTATGAGACACAAATTATGTTGACACTCACTCTAGAGATATTCTGTCAAAATCGATTCTTTCTATAAGGGTACATTTTTAAGGTATATTAAAAAAACTAACATTTTATTAAATTTGTTTTTAAAACATGGTTTGAAAAAGAACTAACTTTTCAGCTTATCTTCTTCTTAACGTGCCCCATTCCTAAGGACATTGGCAATCATCATGGCCCATTTGACTCTATCTGCAGCCGTCAACAACGTGTACAATGCTTCAATTTTGTTCATGATCGATACTTTTAGCGTCCACACTTCTGCACTATACAAAAGTACGGACCAAACATAGCACTTAAACATTCTTTGCCTTAGTTCTAAACTGAGATGGTTATTGCAAAGAAATGACTTCATTTTCATAAAATTAGTTTTAGTCATTACTATTCTACGTTTTATTTCTATGTCTGGGTCTAGTTGGTCCGTTATCATAGTTCCCAAATATGTCATTTTGTGAACTTTCTCAACTTGGACTCCGTTCAATTGAAGCTTTCCATCGGGATGTAAGTCACGACTTAACACTAAAAATTTGGTTTTGTTTGAGTTTATTTGAATGCCCATTTCCTCTCCTACCTCGTGAATACGATCAAGCAGAATTTGAAGACCTTCAATATTATATGATAGGATTACTGTATCGTCTGCATATCTAATCACATTAAGTACTTCCCCGTTGATTTTTATTCCATATGGTTATCTCTCAAGTGCCTTTTTAAATAACTGGTCCGCGTAAATATTGAACAATGTTGGCGACAAAATGCAACCTTGTCTGACACCTCGTTGTATGGGATTTCATCGCTGTATTTATCACCAATTTTTACGATAGCAGGTTGATTCCAGTACAAATTTTTAATGACACGAATATTCTTGTCATCTATTCCGATATTTTTCAGTATTTGCATCAATTTTACATGCTGTACGTTATCGAATGCCTTTTCGAAGTCCACGAGACATGCAAATATATTTTCTTTGGTTAGGGCATTTTTGTAATAGGATGTTAAACGCAAGAAGTGCCTCCCTGGTTCACATAGCATTTCTAAAACCAAATTGGGTATCTTCAAGATCTTCTTCACATTTGCGTATAATTCTGTTTGGAAGTATTCTGAAGAAAATTTTAAGAGCTCCCTTAATAAATATGCCTTCATTTACGTCTTCTAATGCCTCTTTAAACAATTCTTATATATACAAGGATTTCCACAGTTTTCACTGTATTCCTTCACTCAACCGTTTTATCCAATTTTTCCTGTTTAGCAAGTCCCCTTCCTGTAGGTTTCTTCTTCTCATTGCTTCGTCCACTTCATCTTTGAAAGATCTTCGGGGTCTGCCTCTCTTTCTTCTTCCTATCGGGCTCCACTCTGTTATTCTATTTATTCACCGATTTTGGTCTGCTCTTCTAACATGTCCGTACCAGGTTAACCCCTTCTGTTCGATGTAGTCTATTATGTCGGAGTTCATTCCCATTCTCCTCTGAATCTCCATATTATTTATTCTATCTCTTCTTGTTACTCTGCAGCTTCTCCTTAGGAATTCCATCTCTGTTGCTATTATTTTGTTTTTGGTTTTCTTGTTTTTGTCCAATTTTCACACCCATAAGTGAGTATACTTCTTGTCATGGTATTATATATTTTTTTCTTTGTTTTCATGCTGATGTTCTTATCCCATAGTACCGGGTTCAATTTTCGTATGCAGTCTCTTGTTTGTCCTAGTCTATTTTTTATATCTTCCTCCGTTGTTCCTTTGTTTGATATTATGAAACCTAAATACTTATACTTGTCTGTTCCCTTGATTTGTTTACCTTCGTCTATTTCCAGCTGTTTTATTTCTGTATTCTCCGTTGTTAGGTATTCAGTTTTCTTTAGGTTTATTTCCATCCCATTCTTTGTATATTCCTGCTCTAGTTTTTCATCATAAAACTGAGGTCATCCTCGTCTTGTGCGATCACTATTTGGTCATCAGCAAAACTTACTGGTATACCCATTCCTTCGCACTTTCTTTTTCATGGTTTCAGGGTTTTTTCCAGGAATATTTTGAACAGGGGGGGTGCAGAGTAACCCTGTAGTAGTCCCTTTGTCATCTTAAATGGACTGCATATTTTGCCCGTTTTGATAGCTACTTCATTATTCTTGTAGAGTGCTTTTACCGCGTTTATTAATCTTCCTGGAACTTCGATATCTTGCATTGCTTCCCATAGCTTGGTTCTAGGTATTGAGTCATATGCCTTCTTAAGATCAACAAAAGCCAGATGGACGGATCTATTTTTGGCCATTCTTTTTTCTATTAGTTGTTCGACCGTGTAAATGTGATCTAAGCATGCTTTCCCCGCTGTGAAACCTGCTTGGTCTTCTCCGATTTTATCTTGTATATATATTTCTAATTTTTCCTTTATGGTCTTTCCATACAGTCTGCCTATAAATAACAATTCTTCTGAATACATATTAAAAAGTAAAGGGGAAAGCACGCATCCTTGTCTGACTCCACGATTTATGGGTGTTAAATTATATTTATGCGCATCATTGATTGGATATATATTTAGCGTATTCTAAACTCCAACCAATTATACATCCGTAAGT